TCGCGGTTCGCATCCCGGTACGGACTGAACGCGTCACAGGCCTACTGTTCGAGTTTGCTCAAACTTCTCAACATCCCAAATAGAGCGAAGGGGAACAGTCGTGAAAATGTGAAATGGATTCAAGTGGCTCAGGAGGAAACCCAGTCATGGGTTTCTATGATCCTATTACCACGACAGGGACATTCTTGAACAGTTGTCGGTGTCGGTGAAACAGCCGGCTTATTACTGACTATTCAGAAAACATCTGGTACCACGGACAGTTGCATCCAGTGTACGTACCGTCGGTCATAAACCGCAGAATGAATTTGAATGATACTTTGAGGAAGGATGGGAGGAACAGATTGCACTGCCCATTACGACCTTAAATAAAATCATTTTCTTTCAGAAAAACTGAATTTCCTGCCTACACCAGAAATGCTGTTCTCCAGAACACGCGCCAGGTGCGTTATTCTTCTCACAGTGATATCAGTGATATTTTATTTGCAGCATTAGAGTACAAATCCACCACTTTCTCTATCTTTCATTCAGAACAGGTAGCCTCAGTAGGTGAGGCACCATTATAGCAGTCGTCACAAAACTGCGCGTTTCAAGGCCACAGATATGTTTTGCTTCCCCTTACCGCGCGGCTCTAAGTGAGCAGTGCGGTGTTGCCAGATTTATTCACTCGTCCGGGCTCCGCTGCAGATTTGAACGATTATGCTGTGACCTTGCGGCATGAGATTTGGAGACGGCTACTCTAACAACGCCGGCCTGAGGCATAGACCTCGTGGGTCTGGCCGCTGCGACCGTGGGTTCGAGTCCCACTCAAGGCAGGGATGTTTTCTGATGGATGAAGACTGGCCACGGAGAGGCAAGGCGAAATCACCGAAAGGGGTCACGACGGTCAAGCTGACCATAGACGATGAAAAAACTCTAACAACAAACCAGGTAGCTGAGTGAACGTATAGTTATGCCAAGAACTTAACGAAAACGTCTTACTGTTTGCAGTTCAAGCATTTCGATTGCCCTGGACACGATGCCCCTAGGACAATTCAGGATTAAGAAATGGAGAAAAATACGTCGCTTCTTCCAAATCACAAACTTAGCGATAATACAGCTATATACTACTGTTCTCTTCTTGTTTATTTTAGGCAACAGCTTCGATATTGAGAAGTGTACGGAGGGGTTGCCTGCTGTAGGGGTTTGTTAGGTAAGTGTCTCAGACAGACATACCAGTGTCATGCCAAATCACGAAACTTGTGATGCGGGAAAGGAAATAAATCGGGTCGCAGTTTGCAATCTGTCTGCGTCCCAGCTAGACAGACGAAGCAGTTCCGGTCGCATTTTACTCCGCTGATATCTTTCACGTGCAGAGAATCACAATCCGGAGTAACCTTGACTACTTTCATCCGCACACGCTGATGCAACGGCTAACTGCCTGCCTACACACATGACAACTTCATGTATTACATAGCAACACAATTTTATGACTGATATTCCTTTCTTCGTTCATGCAACGACGTTCTGTCAACAACATTTGTTTTGTAACAACATTGTCTTAGTGTAGAACTTGGCTCAGAGAGTCGTGAGAGTACTTTTAAAGTAGATACGCGCTGTCTGCTGAGTTATAGTCGAACATGGCGAATAGCGTACGTCAGTATGAATAAAATGATGAAATATGTGTATTAAGACTAATTATCCTCACACAGTATGTCAGATAGACCTACATTCTCTGACAAGCGAAATAACCTCAGTAGCATTTGTTTATTAAACTTTACAATTTATTTGAAGAATTCCAATCGGGAACAATTTTGATTGTAGTAAAAAGGTAACTTGGAAGAAACAGAATGAGATGAAACGGGCCAAAAATAATTATCATTAAACAGTACATAATAAATGTATAGGTGAATGGACTCCCTTAAACTGCAAGATCCCCCACGAAATCGCTAGTAATTCATATGTTCAAAAATTCCCTCAAATCCTACGTTATGATAAAGATGTGTTATGTCGGACAGTGGCTATACGAATTTTATCAAAAGGCAGAATATATCACAACATCAAAGCATCCCGAGATGGATTTTTCTTTGTCCCGTGAACTGTAATAGTATAAAATTCGCAAAACACCGCAAGGACATTCAATAAACTGCAAACAATGCGCTTGGGAATTTTCTGTACTACATAACAGAGCATGCTGTTTCCAGTCGTAATAAATATAAAATCGTGTATTACATTTAAACAGCTAAAATTTAATTTACGAAACTGTTCGGTCGTATTGTACAAGGCCCCAGTCCCGGAGCAAAGTCATCACGCGTAATAAACAAAACACAAACGTACATCGTGTTTTCTCGTACACTGAAGGATCGAACGATATGTGATTATACAAAACATTAAGTGCGAACCTTTGGCTGCATTTCATAAGCAGAACGTAGGTGGGAGGACGAGCAAAACGAAAATTCATAGCAGGGTATATTTTTATCTGCACGGGGAATAATTATTCGAAATGGAGCGAAAGTCATTTCCTTTATAGAAAAATAAATAAAAAGTCACTGAAAATTAATTATATAGGAATAGTTATATTCAGGAAGAAATTAAGAACGCTGTAATCAAAACATCTCATCGATCCTATTAAAAATGAAAATACGTATTACAGCAGGTTGAAGTGAGAAGAAGTCCCTCAAAACGTTCAATTCGCCTGAGCTCATCTGTTCGTGTTGCAACTTTGCGTGATTTTGCTGTGACCTTGAAGCTTGTATTTTGGTGACGCGAGGTTTTATTTTATGTTTCGAAAGTTGGTACTGCTTCATGTACAAAATCCTTCTCTGTTTGGGCCCCCTGGTCTAACTAAATAATCTATTCAAGCTATGTATGGAGCAGACATCAACAAGCATTAACCAGGGAGTCATTATCACATTCGTTTCTTGTCGGACGAGAGCTGGAAAATGTATCTTATGAGCGCGGTTCACGCCACGTTTCTAGAATAAAACATCAAGCTGGATGTGAGAGTCATTGAAGATCGCATCGCATGTTATTTGCCTGCCCTTGCTCTATGTCTGTCTTCCAATCCATGTTCATTCTGAATAGAGTATGTGTCTATCAACCTTGGTCCAGCACTTGATGACGGATTATGTCTAACACACAGATTATACACACAGAAGGCGGCACTCTTGTTTTGGACAATTCCTTGAACAAACTAGAACAGCATACTGTTCTGTTCCTTTTATATTTTTCGCCATATTAAAATGTCCAAGCCCCAAGAAGTTACTTTCATTAATATGGCTGAAAGTCTAAGAAAATCCCTTTTTTCCTTCCATTTTCGGGAAATAGCCAAAACATTGCTGCTCGAAACAAGTCGAATCCAGTAAACACAGCGCTGAAGGAAAATGATGCCATTCAATACTGCCAGTCCCTGCCGGTTCTTTAACTGTCAGACCTCGCATTCATTCATCAGTATTCCTATGATCTTGTTGTCAACAATAAGAATAACAATCCAGCTCAATCCCGCAGGGGAAACACTCTAGACCAGAGGTTCCCAAAGTGTGGGACGCGCCCCCTGGGGGGGGCGAGTGGTTTTCTGGGGGGCGTGTTGTTTGTATGAAAAACTTTCTTTTAACGAAATATGGAGATACATTTTTAACATCCTTTGCTTGGTTGAGGCAGTTTAGTTGTCTTACAGTGCTGTATACTCATAGCTAAATTTTATGTCAAATCTGTTTGCTTGTACTTGTTCTGGAAGGGGGGGCATGAAATTTATGAAATGTTTTAAGGGGGGCGCAAGGTATAAAAGTTTGGGAATCTCTGCTCTAGACCAAAACTGTGAAGTTTCTTAGTTCGAATCTCGGTATATGTAGGCGAAAGCCAGGATAATTTACCTTCAAACAGACCACGAACTACTACTTCCAAATCCTTACAGACTTATCACTTATCGTCATTCAATTTTATTCCGGTGAGAAAACTTGTTAAATTACATATTAATAAATTTGTCACTAACCCAATCATCCATTAATTCAGTACGGTACATTCCGTTTATTCTAAATAAGAACTGCCCAGTAACTTTCAGGCTAGCACCCCTGAACAATGGACATCTTTCAAGAAACGGGTAGATGACGTCACGCGACACAGATTCGAACCCTGTACTGAGTCAGGCAATGCTCAAAGCACGCACGATCTACTTCGTGGTTTACTACAGTACGCCTTAAATCTGCGATATCTCGCAATGGTCCCACGATCTTTGCCTCCATTGAAGTAGCACATACCAAAGCAAAGAGCAGGCGATGTTTCGTTAGCTGAAATTTGCCGGACATTTGCACGCATCCCTTTATGTCTCGAGAAGCTAGATTACCGTTTAACCGCAGATGGTGCGAGCGCCAAGCGATTCGACTGGAGTTCTATAATAAAACGACGCATGAGACACGGAGCAGTGAGGTCAGGGGAATGAAGCCCTGCACGCGTGGCGACAGAAAAGGTTAGAGCCATCGTGGAAATACACACCAGGCATGTTCGAAAGTCAAAAGCAGTAAGACCTGTCTATAACGGAACATGGATTACACGGAATGTTCCTTTCTTCCTACATTTGCCTGATCCCGTAAATACAGAATAAAATCCAAAACAAAGCTCATAGACGGAAAGCAGAAACAAAATATAAAAGAAAAATAAAATTTCGTGTAGCAGTGTGCGTGCGTGAAATATCAATGTTTTGTTTTCACATTTTAACTATCGATTCACATACACCTTTATATGGTATGAAGGCTACTGAGCGGCTTTATTTATTACTACCTGTGGTAAACGGAAACCTGGCTAAAACGGAATCGGATTTTGTTTTTCCATAAAATTTATCACTACAACTCCCTCACACATTTCCCTCCAATCACTGTATCTTATTTGATGCAGTAAATATTCCGTCATTAATAATCTGAGAACAAATCACCAGTTAAAAGTAATTTATGAAAGGAAATACAGCCTAATTAATACATTGTATTTTCTTCCCTGACAGATGAAACTATTTTTTTTAATTACAGGCCTACCACAAACAATATGCGTATTTATTTTGTCTAACGGTGGACAGGTGACCGGCGGTTGGAAGGGAAGATGGAGGTGGCCAAAGTGGCAGGCCTGGTTACGTCGACCTCCATCACTTTGGACAGCAGCTGACGCGGCCAACATAGTCTCGGGTTTCCATACTTCGATTCAGTCGCGTAACCAGAGATAATACCTCAACATAATTTTAATTCCTCAGGTATTGTACTTCTCACATATCAGTCGTTGAAATTCGTGATTCATGAGCGATACTGTAAAAACAGTGACACATCTTGAAAGTTTAATAACGTGTTTTTACATCAGTGTATGACACAGTACTTTCAGTTGAGTTCGCAACGGAGTGTTGGGCAGTGAGGAAGTGTGTGTGTGAGCTACAGAGATCCTCTGTCACTTGCGAAATTCCACCTGGACAGCATTGTTCAATTCCGACGCCTTGCGTTGGCGTGTGTCGACCGTAGTCCAGCGAGATCAGAACGTAAGCACGTTCAAGCTTTGCTCTTGTCTGACAGCAATGTGATGCAGATCTTGCAGTGACCTGAACTTTAACCCCAATAAAATTCAAGATCATAAAAAGTAAAGTAATTCAAACGATATCAAAATCAGTCGTAGTAGAAATGTGCTCAAAATAAAATATTTTGCTTTATTCAAAACGTTATTCCACCTTAAAGCATTTCACAATTTCTGCAGCAAAATATATTTGAAATAGATCGTTATTAGGTTCTTAACGACTCTGCTAAAAAAAAATGTTGAAGGCCTACAGACCTAGCGTGGATCGTAATATTTTGGTCCCTAGACCAAATGGCAGGAACAAAGTAGGCCCTATATAGTCCAATATAAGCAGGTTTATAGATTAGTATCACGGTCTAAAAACAGACTTTGGTGAAGATAATGATATTTCAACTTGGAGAAGAATATTATCTCATTACTGTGCACAGACATACACTAAATGTTGAATTTCAAAATTTATCTGCAAAGTAGAGTACTTTAGAAGAAGATTCAGAGACGTGGCCTGTGTACCTTCTACATCAGAAGTCGGAGAAGTGAATGGAAGAGAATATCGATATGTAGGTCGACCACTTCTACAAACATAGGCACATTTCTGACATTTTAAAGTTAACAATAAGCATAATATGTGTTCACACAAATTTCTCAAACATTAATTCGGAGAATAAATGGAATAAATCAATTTTAAATGTAAAAAAGGACCTGATAAAACTGCTAAACGTTCACAGAAGGAGCAAAAGATGTTTACAAGAAACTTCTAGACCTTCATCCGGTAGCAAAATGAACAAAAACTTATATTCTTACGTAAACGTACGTAGAAACGAGAGTAGTTTTTTTTTCACTTCATGGCAGACAATGTAAAAATGGTGTCATGATACTATATATCAATACGTCATTAAATGTACAAAACTTGTAGGCTAATTGTTTACTTTTACTGATACAGGAATATGAAAGGAACATTTAGACAGGCAATAATATTTTACATGATAAAGAAAATAGAAAATTCACCAATTATTTACCAATAGAAATGTAAGCAAATGCATTTTTTGAATTAATTTCCTTCAATGAATGTTATGAATGTATCGTACAACGCGCATGCACACACTTAGACCTACGCACGCAAAATTAATTAAGGTTATAACTCGTAACGTGTATTCACCCAAATGTGTAACACTGTAGACAACTAATAACTGTGTAGTGAAGAAGACAGCATCATTACCAACACAATAAAAGCTTAAATTCATATCATTGAAGCAATTCAAAAGTTATTCGTTGCCGTTATGCATGTTTATTCTGTATTGAAACAAGAACGTATCCTTCCGCCCTCATATTAGTTCTCGGACTACTTTCTGGATCTGGATGACGTTCGAAACGCAGTTATCAGTTGAAGATTGGGTCTGGTCAGTTCAATAAAATGTGTACCATTAATAAATATTATTCGATATTCATTTAATATAAACGTAGTCTACAACACGGGGAAACGTGCTTGAATTATTCTATTTTATTTTTTGTTCATTTAACGATGCTTTTACCATTTCAGACTGTAACATGCTTGAAGTAACGCAACTTAATAACAAATTTTATATTATACACGCATTTGTGACCTTCAGTTTTTTTTTATTGAAAAATCAACAATATTCCATCTGACAAAGTAAAACGCAATGAATGCACATCTTTCCATGTTACATTTTCTCTTTGCATCTTTATATAAAAACTAAATATCTTCCAGAATTATTCTGCAATATTTCCCCATGCACGTTACGTGTCCAGACTACCTTAACTCAACTTAATCAACATATCCAAGTACCACCGGTTTGGAAGGGGGGGGGGGGTTGAAATAGCATTCAATGCTTACAATTTGAAACTATTCTATATCTGCCGGGTAACACAGATTACCTGCTTCAAACACACAATAACTCCTTCCTCCCGATCTCGTATTTGATTCCAAACACCCTCCGTCGTTGGTACAGTGTTCGAATTTACGAAAAGTGTAAAGAATATTCAAGATCTGCAATAATTAGGTCTATGCCGCTGGCCGCGCTACTAGCCGCGGTATGACGTCACGTTCCCGCTAATATCGACTGCAGCCATCAGTGTGGTCGTGTGTGTGTGTTTGGTGGGCGGAGGGGAAGGGAGGGGAAGATGGGTCAGCAAACTCGTATATTCTCTGTCTCTTTCATCCCGCAGTCGGCACATTCCATAAACAGGGCTGTCCACCGAGCGTTTTCATATCTAAATAACCTGCGGAAATACTTGCATACGAAGTACCAAGAATCTAAACAGACAGAACAAGTTAGGAAGTGTACTCATTGCGCAATTATGCGAGTGCTGTCTCCCGAATTTCACCTTCAACCTTCGTGATTAGTCAATGAATTCAGTTACGGATTTCTTACGTGAGAATTTAATATCTGGGGATTCCCCCATCCAGTCAATTCTGCGCGGTTGGTGTTGTAAGATTTTAATGAAAGACTTGGCTGTTTCGACAAATTTTCGTACATTTACCATTTATCAAATTTCGCGAAAACGGTTTGACTATCTTCTGGTTGCTACATGCGTACTGACGGACAGACTCGGCAGTTCCAACAGGCGCTCTGCAAGGTTGCAAATGCAATTCGCTGTTGCTAAGGAGAGGAAACGTTCCCCGTTTGACAAAAAAGTCGCGGTAATGCTTCGTGTTTACTCTGAACTAGACTAAACATAAGTTTCGACGGCCACATGCAACAAATTGTTTGCTGCGTGAGAAATGCCTTATTTGAATCTGAACCTTCGACCTTGCTATTATGATCAAATGGGCGAATAGACATCTATTTAGTTAAGAACTCTTACATTTAAAGAAGCTGTTTCCACTGCCTTAAGACATCAAAGTAAGAATACATACAAACTCGGCATTTTCACTGTGTTAATTTTATTTAAACACACACAATGTATTAAGATAGACATTCCTCTTAGATTTATTCATAACGTTCTAATATGAACCGTCTACATAATTCTGTAAAAACATTTACAGCCCTGATGATGACTGATAAACTTAATGGTTTTCCTTCATATAAAAATATCCAGGAATTTTTTCCTTAGTAACTATCAGGCCGATACGAACAAAAATTAAATTATATCGATATATTTTAATGTATGAAGATGGCTGTCTACTTGGTTTCTCTGACGGGTAGTCTAGTTGAATTTTGACGACGTAGGCATGAATTCAACTGTACTGTTTCTAGACATTGCCCGGAAATTTTTTGACGTACGGAGTACGTAATACAGAATGCAGGAATTTCATTTTCAGAGACCGAACAGGATTACAGTTAGGATATGGGGTTTTCACGGCGGTCAGTCTGTAGACAGCTGTCTTCTGGGTTGTAGCATCCTGATGATGGTGGCAGCAAGGGTCTCTGAAACGTCGGTAAACGTCTAACAGACTACACGGCGCTATAACCCAGAAGACAGCCAGCTTCTAACATTTACGAAGTTTAAAATTCTATGCAAGCTGTTCAGAAAATATATGCATAGGCATATATATGTTTTATATTGTGTTAATTGATTATAATTACGAATAGTAATTTATATTTTATCCAGAAAAAGATTTTAATGCGTGAACTGTAAAACCTGAATTATTAAAACAAGACTAGAATTCAAAAGATCACAGAAATTCCCTAACAATTTATTCAACTTCAAATGCACATAATGTATTCCTCTTTTTGGCACAGAACAGCGATTTTAAGCAAAATAATCATTAGAAACCCTAATTTTGATACTGGAATCTCCACAATACGAATTAAGCACATGAAGACCACGTGAAGTGATTACGGAGCATATGTTAATGCTAGGCAAAGTAGGAGAGTAACAACGCTGAAAAGTAAAAAGCTATAGTTATGTGTGTGTATAGGCTTAAGCTACCTCTGAAGCAGACTTTCTCAACCCGGATAAACTACAAGGTGTAACGAAATTGTCAGCTTTACAAACTAATTTCACTGTTCCTTTCCAGATGATGCTGTAACGCGTTACAGCAAAACTCGCTTGATCTGTACAATGAATTCTTCTCGGACTACCAGCCGTGTAAAGTGGTTTAATGAAGAAAACACCAAAGTTTCGAGAACCATTTCTGTCCTTGCCTTCAGGTTTCTGTAGTACTGAAGATGGTTCTCGAAACGTTGGTGTTTTCTTCATTAAACCACCTTACACGGCTACTAGCCCGAGAAGAATTTATTATACTTTGTAGCAGTAAAAACGTCCAAACATTGATTAATCTGACTTGCAGGCACATGTTCAGTCCTCTTACCGATCAGTTTCGACTCAGCCTTAATATTGAAATGTAGCAGTTAATAATTAATTCAAATGCAATTGTTTCTTGAAGGAAGTTAGTCTTTGTAAATACTGAACTGAATTTAGAATAAATTATACATTAACGTTCAGATATGTCCCTTTTAGATTCTTTGAGAGCAAAGCAAATATTTTTGTGCTTGGTGACTAAGACATAAAATAAGAATTAATAAATGTGTCACCCTTTTCAATATAAAATTTCAAATACTAACACGCTATAATTTAATTTCGGGTTAAATCTAAATGATAGTGACTTAATTAGTAATTTATACTACATTAAGCCGTCCACATATCTTAACATGGTATGATGTAATTGACAGCATATGACAATATTTGTTTTCAAATCATAATAAGTAAAATATTACTTTTTAAGCATTTATTTTAAAGAGTCCTTATTTTAGATTTTCTATGGCTTCAGCAATGGAACGGTAGCATGATGATTCTGACAATCATTTAATAGCATTACTGAAAGTTCAGTTAAAAACCTTCAATGTATTCTTTTGCAGTAAAGTACCTAATACGGAAATTATAAATCCCAGAAAACTGAATTTCATTTTTAACAAATGTATAAACAGTTTATGAGAAAAAATAGTGGCTATTAAAGATAAAAGCAATGCATGTTGAAATTCTCTCGAATGGATTCAATTGGTCAGT